TACCATTTTTAAAATGAAAATAACTCCACCATTTTCTCAATGTCTTTCTCTACTTTTACCTCTCCTCTCTCTTTCCCTCTCCCCAAATCCCACCATTTCTCTCACACTCACTCCTCTCACTTAATCTCTCATCATCCCGATCTTCACTATCTCTCACTCTCACTCACTCTCTCATCTCTCTATCACTATCTTCTCTAATTCTCTCACACTCACTTCTCTCTCTCATTCTCACTCACTCTCAATCTTGCCAAAAGGTAGATTCTCTCCCAAATTTTAAATTTTTTTTCATTAATATGTGTTTTTGGAGTTAGTTTTGAGTTTGTGTGGGGTTTGGGGTTGAGTAAAGGGGAGGGATTGGAGTTTGGGTTGGATTTGTTGTATAACAATTTTAGGGGAGATTATCCCCTTTTTTATTTATTGTACTTTGTTAATTTATGTGTACATTTTGAATATTATATATATATATATATTTATTGGATAATTTGATCACTATTTTTCATATGTAATTTTATTTTGAATATGTCAATTTAAATTAAAGTAATTAAATTAAATTTAAAAAGTAAAAAATTGAATAAATTAATATAATAAAATAAATATCAATTTAAATTAAAGTAACGAAAAAAATCATACAATTAAATTAAATTTAAAAAGTAAAAAATTGAAAAAATTAATATAATTAAATTAATATTAAAGAAATAATAAAACAAAAAGTCAAAAACCAAAATATTTTGTTGCGCAAATAATTAATATAATTAAATTAATATTTCGTCGTGCAAAAATTCGAAATAATTAATATAAAACCAAAATAATAAAACAAAAAGTCAAAACCAAAATATATTTTTTAAAATTTTTATTTAAAATTTTTTCGTCGCGCAAAGTAACTTTGCTCGACCAATGTTTTTCTTCGCTCAAAGTCACTTTGCACGACCAATATTTTTTCGTCGCGCAAAGTCTTTCTTCACGATCTTTGCGCGACGGAATCTGCACGACGAAGTTTCTGTCGCGCTAAAATTTGTGCAACTACAATGTATTTTGTGCGACGAAATTCTTTTCGTCGCGCAAAGTGTAAAATGTAGTAGTGTGACCGGTATCATAGAAGATTTTCTCACACCCCTAATTTGGTACTATTGATGGGAGCTTGATAACTGTTATCACTTCCGCTAGAGAAAAATAGATATATATCTTTTCTTCCTGGCTTTGGGGTATACAGAGAGAGACATAAACAGGGATAAAGTTTATAGAAAAGTTGATATAGATGCAAATTTCTATTGAGAAGTTGGGTTTAATTCTCATATTTCTATTTAACACGTTTGTCATTGAATAAAAAAGAAAAATCTTGCGAACATATCCAAAAAACCACATTGTTACAAACGTTGTTACAAACAGTCATTAAGGGCAAATGTAATTGCTACAAATATATTACATAAACCATTACTGGACAAATACATTTATTACAAACACATAAACGTTTGTCATGTATACTTGTTCTACAGGTAATGTCTGTGATACAAACCTGTTGTATAGGTATAGTTTGGTTCATAATCTTTTTCACTACAACAGCAAGTAACCTTGAAAAATAAACCTTATAAGCCTAAGGTACAGGTACATCAACCAATACTAATAAACGGGAAGAAAAAACACAATCAATTTTTACCTACAAACAACAAATATGAAAAATAAACCTTTCCTTACATACCTTCATTGTAGTTATTTGCCAAGTCAACTATTTTCCATCCCATATTCAACACTCAAACTACCTCCATTATAGACACATGAACCTAACGAAAAAAAAAGAAAAAAAAGTATGACTGTAACACAAGTAATTCAATCCTAATTTGGAATTTGTGAAAATCTTCATTAAGGAAGTCAAAAATCAGCGGAGATTGGGATAGAATGACCATGATTGTAGGAGACAAGCAGATTGTTGGGAGGGGTAAGTTTTAAGTAAATTTAGGTTTTAGCCATAAAAAACTTTCACTTTTGGAAAAAGCCAAAGTTTTTTCAAAAAAGACAGAAAAACCTCTCAACTTTCAAATCAAAGACATGCAAATGTAAACGATTCCTTAGGAAATCCAAAAATAAATAAGGGCAATTTTGTCCATTTTGGCTTCTTTTAAAAAATTTCTCTCTCCTTTTGCTTTTTCCAAAGTCTCCCTAAGTTTTATTTGCCTTTTCTATTTAATGGCACTAGAAGTAAATATCTTAAAAAAGGATGGACAAAGGCATTGCTTACGTGTCCATTGGATTGTTTGGTGGACTGCTATTGAGGAGCCAAAATTGTTGTCCTTCATCCGTTGTATCTTAATAAAAATGAACCTATATCTAAGAACCCCTAAATATTATTAATAAAAATACACTTACTAAAAACAAATGAAAGAAAGAGAGGAGCTTGATGAGGAGGAAGATGAGAGAGGCTCTAAATTCTTCAATGGGAAGAGAAGTTTCTTTTATGAAGTTGAAAGCATTGCTCAAGATGTAATTGAGAGCTTGTGAATATGGTATTTTATATAGGATGTTGAGGGATTAAGTGTGTAATTGGTGGATTTTGGGCTCTGGACAGCTAGTGCTAAGCTCCATGGATATGTTGGTGTACTGCTTTTGAATTTTTCAGGACCCTAAAAGGAACAATTTCCAGCAATTTATAGATTTGTTGTATTGTAGCTATTAAGTAATTCGTTTCTTTGGTAAAATATATAGTTTCATCTCTGAGTTCTTTTGATTCCTAATCAATTGGGTATAATTGTATCTTTGTGGAATTTGACAACTTTTTTTTTTGCCCGAAATCAAGTTTCATTGTGAACATCCAATTAAAAACCAATTAATAATCAAGTTAGCTGTTAATTTGTTTTTTCTTTTGTTGGCATTACCTGTTTAACCAATATTATATGTGGAGTAATCGATTCGGGTAACTTATTATATGTTAGAAAGTGGACTTACCCATCACAGCACGTGGAGTACACATCCTCGCATGCATGGGAGAATGCCCAACAATTGTTTAATCAACGATTGTCCCAACCATGGTCATGCGTAACATCGATTTCTAATTATTAATTGATAATCTCTCTCTCTCTCTGGGGCCGAGAACTCGGGGTTTTTTGTCATCCTAGGTAAGAGATGGTAATTCCTTTTAGAACTTTTTTTATTTATGAAGTAATTCCTTTTAGAACTTGTGATCGACAAAATGATGAAAAGAGGCCCACTTTTTCAGCAATAATAGACCCATAGCAAGATGGAATCTACTTTTTCGAGTTTTCAGAGCAATAATAGAACCATACAATAATTATAGAGATGTGTTATGATTAAGGGTATTAGAGACAATTTTAGAAATAAATAACCATCAGCTTTATTGAAAAAAGGACAGGATGATCAGTAATTTCTTGCCGCACATACCGTGAAGTAAAATTTCAAAATTTCTGTCCTTAATCAAGTGGGCTCTTATTCTGGAGTTATTAATCATTTTCTCACTCTGTATTCCGGCATTTTATTTGTTTACAATAAAAGGATGAAAAAAGATCCTTTCAAAATTCAAATCTGAAAATCTAGGGGCAAAATTATCCAAGTAAGCAAAATTTCTCTATCCAAAAGAAATTTCAGGGACAGGTCGTTATATTTTACACGTATTTAAGGTCGTTTGGTGAGGTTTGTCTAACCGGCCAATACACGTCTTTTGACTCCATAATAGCTCCCATTAACGCCTGAGTGCCCATAATCACAGCTCCAATCAGTGCTTTTTTTACACATTATAAAGTATAATTATCCTTAAGTAAGCGCATATTGTGGACAAACATTTACTCAATTAGATCTACACTTCCAAGAGCCCAAAGTTTCTTTTCTTTTTTTTTGAAATAAGTCAGAATACCTTCAAGAAAGGAAAAAAAAGAAAAACCAATATTGCATCATGTGCATGCCCATCTTGCACGTATAGAAATACCACTATCATCGTGTTTTTGATGTTTTATATTTTTAATGCGCACAAAAAAGAAAGTTCGCATTAAAATATTTTAGTGTTTATTGTTAAAATGTGGGCCTTGTATTGTTAGTTTAGTTGAATTAAATTGCTATATTTCAGCAAAAAAAACATGTGCAGAAAAATTAATTTTTTAAAAAATAAATAAAAACACATTAGATGGAAGAGGGAAGGGGATGGTATTGTCCTCACCTCCATCTCCGGTATGAAATTTTGGGGAATCCCCATTCCCGTCTCCATCGAGGGATTATATTCCAAACCCAGGCCTGAATATATTTAAAAAATATAAAAACTATCCATATTACACTTCACTTTCACCTTAAACTATCATTCAACTTAATTAAATTCAATTGAACTATAAAATTTCACTAAACTACTCAAATTCATTTCAAATCAATTTGACAAAAATAATAAAATCATATAATTTTCTTTTAAAAAAAAGGGGTAAAAATTAATGAAACAAATACAACATATTGTTTTCATCCACAATTCATCATCAAGATGAATATCCTCACTCAATGGAAAACGAAAAAAACTTGCGCAAGAAAAGGATATGTGGGTGTACCGTGTACATTATACATACAGCTACTAAATCACAGCGGCCATGCTACTTTAATAGAGTAATCTAAATTTATTTAATATTATTTAATTAGTTATTTATACATTAAATTTTTTTAATTGTTATATTATATTATGTTATATATATTTATTAATTCAAATTAAATATATCATTTATTGGGCACAACATGATGAGGGACTTGTGATCACAACATGATGAAAGCAGGCCCACTTTTTCAGCAATAATAAAAACAATAACTTCTGATCATCTCTCTCTTCTAGCAATAATAAATATATCATTTATTACCTTACCCGATTTCTGTACATCTGGGCCCCAACCCACCACCACACAATGGAATCTATCTTCTCATGTATTTTGATTTTTAAATTTTATCTTCATCCGGTTGATTGCTCCCCAGAATTAAATTCTAGATGTTGTTTTGATTAAGCTAGCATATACCAAAATAAGGCCATTATGGCGTCAGTTTCAGCAGACCTCTTCATTGGCAAATTTGTAGCAATTCTCGAGAGTGAAGCAGCCTCCATAGCGGGTGTTGCTGATCAAGTTGATGAGATTAAGCGGGAGCTGGAATTCATGAAAGCCTTCTTAGCGGATGCTGACGGGCGCAACAAAGCACACACACAAGTAGAGGAGGTGTGGATCAGAAGCGTTCGAGACTTGGCCAATGATGTGGAAAACATCATTGATGAATTCATGTATCACGTGTACGAGCAGCAAATTGGAGGTCGATTTGCCAGGTGGATCCACAAAACCATTCACTTTCCAAAGCACCTTTGGTATAAGCGTAAAATAGCCAACAAGTTAGAGAAAATGGCTATGGCAATTAGAGCTATTACAGAGAGAAATCAGAGATATGGTGGTGGTGCTGCTGTAGAAGGAAAAAGTACTTCTTCTGAGGATATTCGCAGATGGGTGCAGAATCAAGCGGAGTCTTCTCTTTATCATAAGGAGGATGAACTCGTCGGGATTGAAGGTGATAAGAACTTGTTAATGGGATGGCTGATGAACAAAGAGCAACGCCAAACTGTTGTGTCTGTGGTCGGGATGGGAGGATCGGGGAAGACAACTCTAGTTGCAAGGACCTTCAAAGATGAAATTGTAAAGAGGCATTTCGAATGCTATGCGTGGATTACTGTTTCCCAGTCTTATGTGATTGAAGACTTACTTAGAAGATTGATCAAAGAATTCCACAAAGAAAAGAAGGAAGAGGTCCCTGCAGAAATGAATGCCATGAGTTATAACGAATTGTTGGAGATGTTGGTGAACTACTTGGAGACTAAAAGGTACCTAGTTGTATTGGATGACGTGTGGGATGTCCACCTTTGGGAGAAAATAAGGTTTTCATTTCCAGATAAACAACTTGGAAGTCGAGTCATGCTTACAACTCGAAGAGAAGACATAGCATCCTCTTCTTTCGGAGTTGAAAGCCATGTTCACAAGATTCAACCGTTGGAAAGGGGTGATGCGTGGGATCTCTTCAGCATGAAAGCATTCTCAAGTTATCAGAACAAATCTTGTTCACCTGAACTTCTGCCTTTAGCTCGGGAACTTGTGGAAAAGTGTGAAGGCCTACCACTCGCGATCGTAGCCTTAAGTGGTCTCATGTCTTCTAAGAAGTCACTTACAGAGTGGAGCACAGTCTACAACAGCTTAAGTTGGCATCTAACAAACAATTCTTTGTTAGAACCTATGAAGATGCGCATCTTGTTGTTTAGTTTTAATGATTTGCCATACCGACTGAAGCAATGCTTTCTATATTGTTCCCTTTTCCCTGAAGATCATGTGATCATAAATTTAAGGCTCATTAAATTGTGGATCGCTGAAGGATTTGTTGAACATGTCGAAGGGCTCACGCCAGAAGAAGTTGCAAAGAGCTATCTTATGGAACTCATTTTTCGTAACATGCTACAGGAAAGGTTTGTAGGATCCACCCAGCATGTACGATGCATGATCTTTTGCGGGAGATTGCTCTGTCTATAGCAAAAGAAGAAAAGTTTTGCGCTGTACATGATGGGAGTGAAACAGTAGAAGAAACTGGGGCACTCCGTTTGTCAATTCAAACAACTAAGGGAGAAATTGGAGCAGGCATAGGTATATCACGACTCCGTTCATTTCTCGTCTTTGCCACTGGCGTATCCTCGTTCTCTTTCTCAAATAAATTACCTTTTGACCTTAAATTGTTGAAGGTTCTAGATTTGGAGGATGTCCCAATAGATAATCTGCCAGACAGAGTAACATGCTTATTCAATTTAAAATATTTAAGTTTGGTGGGAACTCTAATTACGGAGCTTCCAGAATCCATTGGACAGCTCCGCAACTTCAGACCTTGAACATCATGGGACAAAAATAGAGGCACTTCCAAGAGGGATTTCCAAGTTGCTAAACTTACGCCATTTACTTGTGGGTGGTGGGTTCATTTCCAGAAAGATGATTGGGGTAAGAATACCATCAAGTATTGGTAAGATGAAGAAATTGCAATCTTTGGCGTTTATTGAATCAGAAGGAAACGTTATTAGACTTATTGGAAGTATGACCCAGCTTACGTTCCTTGGCATTACAAATGTGAAAGAAAGAGACGAGGAGGACCTATGTGCCTCAATTCAAGAGATGAAGGTCCTTTCCCGCTTGTTTTTATTTGCAGCCGATGGAGAGGAACTTCTACGAGTCGACGCATTGTCTTCACCGCCTCCCTACCTTGATAGGCTTTACTTGAAAGGCAAACTGGAAAAGGTACCACATTGGTTTTGTTCACTCCACTCTCTCACATATTTGGAACTGCGTGAGTCCAGACTTGAAGAAGATTTACTACCTCATATTGAAGCGTTACCCTCTCTACGTTCTCTTTGGCTTGTGAATGCCTCTGTTAGGAAAGAGTTATGTTTCAACGGAGGCTTTGTGAAGCTTCGGCATTTGTGGTTTAGGGATCTCGCATTATTAAATAAGATAACTATAGAAAAAGGGGCGATGCCAAATCTCGAGTTCTTAGTCATTGATAGTTGCTTGACATTAGAAACATTGCCACAGGGTATTGAGCACCTTACTAAACTACAAGGATACAGATTTGATAATGTTTCAGAGCAGTTTATGGAGTCCATAGAAGAAGGAGGTGTGGATCATGCAAGGATGCAACTCGTCGACGAGAGATGTAAGAAATATGCGTAAGTATCTTTTATCCTTTCATTGACTTTCCTAAACTTAATGATTTGGAATATTGCACTAGTGTTCAAGAAATTGCTCTCATTCACATCTCTGTTAATGGATGTAAAGCCATATAGATTGTTTGTTAATTACAATATTGCTTTTGTCTTTTATATATTTTGCAGATACAAGTCCTGGGATTGAAGATTTTACCCATGAGTTTAGGGGTGGGAAGAACTTTTTCGTCTTGTTTTGACCCCAAGACTGATCTAGATTGGCTTCTTATTTGCTCTTTTTGAAAATCAAATGTCTTTTTGTGTGTTTTAATTTGCATGTAATAAATTCGAGTTTGCATCTGTCATTTCAGCAATTGGCAGATGTATCTCGATGATAAGCTTTTAAGATTTGGACCATGGATTCTTTTATATTCTCTTCTATGTTAATTGTGTTTGTATTTTCAGGTTTTTTCCTTTGGGGTCAGATTTTGAACTTTCAGATTGGCTAAATAAAAAATACAGAATCTTAATTGCTTTCCATGAGAAGTTCTATAACACAGGAATGTCAATGTAGCGGTATCTCAAGTCAATTATGCATTGTTATGTGAGGAAACTAAAAAACATTACAATGCGTAATTGATTTTGAAATGCCGCCACAATGACATCCATGACGTAGGTAAGTTTTTCATCGCCCTTATTGATAACCTATTTGAATCTTCTCCCCAAAGGCGCCTCTTCTGCAGCGGTTGACCTCCCAGTGCCCCCTCCCCTCTTTCACCCCCAATTGTGACAAAGATGCGCTCAAATATTTGATCTATCTAAGGAATGAAATGTAGCAAACAAACTATATAAATTTAAAACATGTTTGACAGAGAAATAAAAAGACATTCGTTTTAGGCAGTAGCCTCTTTCCTTTTTGTGTAACTTCAGAAACAGAGAAGATGATCTTCTAAGAATTAAGTAGGATTTTCAAAACCAATTTTTCAATTTGATCCCTGCGCTACATAAAATATAAAAATTAATACCTCTGCTGCGATGTTTCTTGTATTTTTACTTGTATGTGTATGCATTATTCACGTTCGCATTGTCACATGTTAAAATATGAGTGCATTTTATATGTCATGAACCTAGGTCATAGTCAATGGCTGATCCACCTAAGGACTAGTAAAGGCTATTGCCCCTACTCACCCTTCTTCCTATCCATGAAGTTCTAGAATCTTTATTGAAGATATGCTTGAGTATGTTGCAATGGGGTGTTTGATAAAAGTCCTCTGAGAGAACATGGAGGTGCAAAGTTGTGCTGGCAGCTAAACTTCATATGTTCTTTGTTTACATTGACACACCAAAACGAGGTCGTATCTTGTTACTTGTATATAATTCATTCATATTATATTTGAAGAATATTGAGCATTGGAATTTTTAGTTCTATTTTGGAATTCCCCAGTATTTATGTTACTTAGAAAATATTTTGCAGATACAAGTCCTGGGATTGAAGATTTTACCCATGAGTTTAGGGGTGGGAAGAACTTTTTCGTCTTGTTTTGACCCCAAGACTGATCTAGATTGGCTTCTTATTTGCTCTTTTTGAAAATCAAATGTCTTTTTGTGTGTTTTAATTTGCATGTAATAAAATTCGAGTTTGCATCTGTCATTTCAGCAATTGGCAGACGTATCTCGATGATAAGCTTTTAAGATTTGGACCATGGATTCTTTTATATTCTCTTCTATGTTAATTGTGTTTGTATTTTCAGGTTTTTTCTTTGGGGTCAGATTTTGAACTTTCCGATTGGCTAAATAAAAAATACAGAATCTTAATTGCTTTCCATGAGAAGTTCTATAACACAAGAATGTCAATGTAGCGGTATCTCAAGTCAATTATGCATTGTTATGTGAGGAAACTAAAACACATTACAATGCGTAATTGATTTGAAATGCTGCCACAATGACATCCATAACGTAGGTAAGTTTTTCATCGCCCTTATAAAATCCTATCCATAACCCCAAAAAAAAAAAAAAAAAAAAAAAAAAAAAAAAAAAAAAAAAAAAAAAAAAAAAAAAAAAAAAAAAAAAAAAAAAAAAAAAAAAAAAAAAAAAAAAAAAAAAAAAAAAAAAAAAAAAAAAAAAAAAAAAAAAAAAAAAAAAAAAAAAAAAAAAAAAAAAAAAAAAAAAAAAAAAAAAAAAAAAAAAAAAAAAAAAAAAAAAAAAAAAAAAAAAAAAAAAAAAAAAAAAAAAAAAAAAAAAAAAAAAAAAAAAAAAAAAAAAAAAAAAAAAAAAAAAAAAAAAAAAAAAAAAAAAAAAAAAAAAAAAAAAAAAAAAAAAAAAAAAAAAAAAAAAAAAAAAAAAAAAAAAAAAAAAAAAAAAAAAAAAAAAAAAAAAAAAAAAAAAAAAAAGACCCACCTGATCCATATAAAGATATTTTGATCTGAGTCTCACACCTACAGACAATACAAAATAAAGACCCCTTTCTAACTCAACAGTACCTACAAACAATACAGAACAACAAGATGAAGACCCCTTCTAACTCAACAGTACCAACAGACCAATCTCCTGAGAATATCCTTGAGGTAATACTCCTGCTAGACTTGTGCATTTAGAGGACAAAAACTATTGGATATCAATTACCTTTCAGGAAAAAATCGTGGGAAGCCACCAAACCGTTATTCACTGGTATTGGCAAGACATCCAAGTATCCAATTGCAAATCATGTATCCACTGAGAAGTGGTCAGAACCACTCAAGGCTTTTGTGCACCAGTTGTCTGCTATCCCATATTCCAACCAAGATCTTTGAAGCATTGAAAGATCCTAAGGGGTCCAAGCTATAAAAGAGGAGATGAAAGCCCTTGAGAAAAATCAGACTTGGACATTGGAGACTATACCACGAGGAAAAAAGACTATCGGATGTAGATGAGTGTTTACTATAAAACACAATGCAGATGGATCTATCGAAGCGATACAAGGCAAGACTTGTGGCAAAATGGTACACACAGACCTATGGTATAGACTATGAAGAAACATTTGCTCCAGTTGCAAAAGTTAAACACCGTTAGAGTCTTATTGTCCCTTGCAGCTAATTTGGATTGGCCACTACACCAGTTTGATGTAAAGAATGCTAGCATGGGGCATCATATCTTGAATCATTTGTTCGACTGCACCTCGGGTCGATTGCTTGGTTTCCTAGCAACGGGTTGTTAACATTTCCAACGAGATTATTCCGCCCACTGACTCCAGCGAATTGATTGATATAAGGCCCAGTAAAATTGGCTCGGCCCCTTGGTGAGCTTATGGCGGAATTGATTATATGGCGGGAACACCTGGAATTGGTTGGCCGCTGCATATCGGTTGTTTCTCATGGGCGGAATATTAACCGCTGGGGATGGGTTGCCCCAACTGGTGGATTAGGTTGGGGCAGATTCACCCAAAAATATTTGGTTGGACCTTAGCTTGGGGCCTCGCCACCGACACTCCATTAGGTGCCACTTGGTTCCCATTTTGACCATTTTGTTGGGCCTAACAATCGATCAAACCTCTCATTGATTTGAGCATTTTGAGTGGCCATCGTCTGGGCAATATTCTCCATGGCATGCATGAATTGTGGGACTTCCAATGAAGTGGTCGGATTTGGCCTCAAGACTAGTCCCTCAGCAACTTCCGTAACATCTTCGACTAACACTTGGGTCGTGGCCGACGGCCGTGGTTCGGCTGAGGCCATTTTTCTCTTGTTGAGCTTTTGGAACATTTTGTGGTTGAGTTTCATAAGGAGTGAACCAGCATGCTTGTCTCTGATTCCGACCGAAATCTAGATTCTTCCAATTCTTGATCTCTTCTAGGATTCCTCCTAGTGTTTACGACCATACAAAACCTCCACCGGGCGTGCCAAATTATGTTTCCCTATTTTAGGATGGGGCAGCCGACGAAAAGGAACTTTTGGTCCTTTTTCTTTTGAATGCGGGGGTGTGCCACCACCAAGCCCCGAATTTGGGCTTGAATGGAATGTGAGTTGATGGATGTGTTGCGCTTCTAATTCTGATCAAGTTAGAAAAGTTAACAAGGATATTATAGGCATTTCATTAGAATTCATTAAAGACCACCGGGTTTTGTGTTTTGCTTTTTGCAAAAGTGAAATAAAATCAGCCCCTTAGGGCTTTCCAAAATCACGGTGATCGATAGCTATTGCTTTTGATTTTTAGGACCCCAGAGAGAACAATTTACAGCAAATTATAGGGTTGTTGTGTTGGAGCTATTAAGTAATTGTTTCTTTGGTAAAACATATTGTTTCGTTTATGAGTTATTTTGATTCCTATTTAATTGAGTGTATTTGTATCGGGTGGATTTGACACAAAATTTTTTTGCCAAAATCAAGTTTCATTATTAGAAAGCCAATGCCAATTACATGATAGTGGAACTCATAACAATGAGTCCAAACAAATGCAACAGTAAAGCCCACTAGAAATAAAACTCAAACAGGCATAAAGTCAAAGCCCAAAACTGACATAAAGTTAGAGTCCAAAACTGGCATAAAGCTAGAGCCAACCAAAGCAGAAACACCACCAAAAGCCATAGTACGTCTGCCGCTGCTCCCATGAAGACCAAGATATTTCCACAGAACTAATGATAAGTGAAAGAATTGCAAACACACAAAACAAATACAAAAATTACAAATATTAAAAATCTCTCGCAACACATAAACCAACCATCGAATACTCATTAACTCCTTCAAAAACGAAGAACAAATTTGGGAAAAACTACTTCCCAAAACCCAAGAAAACTAGGCGACGTAATATTTTTGGGTTTTTGAATCTTGATGATTATGAGAGGGAATATGGAGGCACGACTTCCCTAAGCTGTTATGGGATGTAGTATTTTAGGATTTTATCATGTAGTACCAAATTTAATTAAAGGTTATTTGTAAATAAAGGGAGTGGAAAGATAAAATTTTTTTTTTCGATTTACATAGTAGGAATGGTACACAAATACAGCTTATGACAAAATAGAACAAGTAGATACAAATAACAAGCAACTCTTATTTATATATGTTTTTTTGACAAACCCCTTACTTTTCTCTTATTGCAATTGATTCACATTGATTGACCTTAATGAGACGAGCAACTCCCATTGGTCTGCGTAGAACTCCGCTCACCCGAAAGCTTATGTTGTTCGAACTTTTCTCTTGTTTCCGTAGATTTTGTACTTTTGGTACCGTTCAGGTTGATGGGGTATCGAGGAGATTGCTCTTATACTATTCCAAGTAGGCCAGTAGGATCCAAAAAAATCTATCGGCAATCATTATCAGAAGACCTTTTATGAAATGGAAAATAGTATTTTTATTATCATGATCATTATGACATGCATAAAATATATATATATATTATATATTTGGTTCAGAGGAGGGCTAAAAGCCCCACGCCAAAAAGAAACTAATAAGAGACAAGACGAGGTCTAGCAACACCTTGAACATCAGCAAAATCTCACTAAGAAAAGCTGGACCTCCAAAACACATAGAGACGGATCAAAATCATAAACTCTTAACAGCCAAAGCATCCGCAGCACAGTTCTGTTCACGGGAAAATATGTTTCACAGAAGCAGCACCAATCCTCATGAATCTTCTTTTGCAGCAGTTGATAATACTAAAGAGAGGGTGTGTTGACAAAATAGGACTTTTTAACAAAGCCACAGTAGACGTAGCATCACACTCAATCTCCACTATGCGAAACCCAGCATCCCAAGCCATTTAAGCCCGTAGAAAATCCCCCATAACTCAGCCTCAATGATGGAACATGGCCCAGATTCACAAAGAAAACCCTGATCCAATTCCCACAAGAGTCTCTAACAAACCCCAACCCAATAAGACTAGAGGAATTAATTCTGCTACCATCAGTGTTGACTTTACAACCACAGGAAGAGGGGCCATCCAATAGAGATGAGCAACATTACGCTCAGAAAGAATAGCCACTCCAAAGCAAACTAATAAATCATCAGATGAGGTTCAGCAGGCAAGAGAAAATTCTGATAAAACCACCTTACATCTCCATTTCCATAGAACCAGTGAAAGATAGCAAAAACCAAGTGCCAGGGCAGGCCATGGGTAACAAGCCTCTTAGATTTCAAATTATGCAAAAGCCAGTCATCAAAATCATCCTGACAGCTTCCACTCTCCCAAATCCAAGTCTATTCCAAATAGCAAGAGTGGCAGCACAGTCCATAAAGAGATGAGCACAAGATTCCAAAGGACAATCACATCTGGGACAAACAGCAGCATTAGTAAGCTTTCTCTTCAATCTTTGAGCATCGTAAGTAACTTCTTATGACACAACAGCCAGAGGAAAGTCTTAACCTTTGCGGAACATGAAGCTTCCCAATAAAGTCCCATTCCAATTAACATGCCCTCATCCAGATAAAAGGTGCTATAGGCAGTTTTAACATAAAATTGGCCATTAGAGGTAGCCTGCCATATGCATTTATCCTCCCCACTCCATTATAGCCAGCATGAATACTAAGAATCAAGTTGACAATATTTATAGGCAGGCATTCCATTAAGCAATTGAAATCCCAAACCCCATCCTCTAAAAAGTCACTAACATTTAAATGAAGGATGTCCTCAAATAAATCAATTAGAGCAATTGTTGTAAAGGTCCACAACTAAGCCATCTATCAGTCCATAACAAAATATCATCCCCAGACCCCACACGCCATTTAACACCAACAGAAAAGAACTTGAGCACCATATAAGATACCCTTCCAGACATTGCAGCTACTCTGGAACTGCAGATCTTTAGCGGCAAGGATATCGTAATGCCTTAGATACTTAGCATTAACACTTGAGCCCAAAGACCTTGCTCACGTTGCAGTAAACGCTAACCAGATTTAGCAAGAAGAGCTTGATTCACCAAGAAGAATTTTAATACCCAAACCACCAGCAAATTTAGGCTTACAGACAGTGTCCCAATTAACCAAGTGAACCTTCGCTTGATCCGTAGTATGCCCCCATAAAAATTTCTATTTAATGATCAAGTTTCTGACAGATAGAAACCGGTAATTTAGCAGATTGCATGGAATAAATAGGGATAGCAGAAGTGACTGATTGTAATAGAGTCAGACGACCAGCCATAGAAAGAGTATGACTTTCCAAGAAGATAACCTCCTTTGGACTTTGACAATAATCTCTTGATAAGTAGCTTTAGGGGGGTGTATTCAATTCTAACTTTTAATGACTTTTAATGAGTTTAAAAGTCTGAAGGTATTCAATTGTGACTTTTAAATAGTCTTTAAAAGTTTAGTTGTATTCAATTGTGAGTTTTAAAGAGTATTTAAAAGTTTTGAGGTATCCAAAATGTTAATGACTTTTAAAAACTTTGTTAAATAAATGACTTTTCAATACTTTTAAAGGTAATTCTTACTACCAAAAGTCTTGCTAATTTACACCAGACTTTATAAAAATATTGGGAAGCTGAGAAGATAGAACCAAAACTTCTCCAAACGTCTCCAATTCCTTTTTCCTTTGTTATATCAAGCATCATGCAGATGGATCTTTTTTCTTCATGGTTAGGGCTCCACTTTGGTATCCCATTGTCATCCACTTCCTTCAGGTTAGTAAAAAAATATTGAATGTTTTCTTCTCTTCTCATCCACACGTTTCTGTTGATGAATATCTCTTCTCATCCACTTCCTTCAGCTATGTTTGCATATAAATATTTTATTATATTGATTGTCTCATATGCTATGTTTGCATGGCTAAGCTTTTTTAAAAACTGAATCATGGCTAGTTGAATGCCAATTATTTCCTTATGGTACATTTTCAAATGTACTTTGTCATTTTTATCATTTTCTAATGTGAAGGAGAACTATTCTTTGCTTTTATGTAATTGTATCCAATTGTTTTTTTCCCTAATTTTTTGTTCAATATATGCCGACTAGTTCATTCAACATAAAAGATAAATGCTATTTGTAAAATAATATAAAAATAAGTATTTAAAAGTCTATAAAACTCTATGACAAAAAGTATATGAAAGTTTGTCACTTAACTTTATAAAGTATGTAAAAGTCATTAAGAATTTGTCTACTCTAGAAAAGTCATTCACTTAAAAAAAGTATTTAAAAGTTAGAATTGGATACACCCCCCTTAGTGACTTGTGTGTGAATAAGAGGAACACCAAGATACTTGCCAAGACAAGTACGAGAGGGGAACCGCAAATAGTTGCAATATCCTGAGCCAACTCAGAAGAAGTATTTGGAGAAACACATATTATAGATTTATCAAAACTCACCTTCTGACCAAAGAGACGACAAAAGTCGTATAAACATTTCTTCATAACAGTAGCCTGATTGACAGAAGCTTCACCAAAGAGAATCAAATCATCAGCAAAGAACAGATGAGAGATAACAGGACCGCTTTGGCATATCTGCACCGGCTTCCAAGCCTTATCTTGGACAGATTGCTGGATAATATGCGAAAGCTTTTCCATACACAAAACAAAAAGATAGGGGGAAAGGGGGAAATGGGGTCCCCTTGCCGAATGCCACATTTAGGAAAGAAAGTATCAGTTAATTCACCATTGAGAATCGCCCTATATCGCACCGAATTAATACACTGCATTAAAAGCTCAAGAACTCTCCCACGAATCCCAACCTCCCAAAGCACTTCTCTAATAAAATCCCAATTAACCGATCATAAGCTTTGGATAAATCAATTTTCCAAGCTATGAAACCCTTCCTCCCTTTAGAACTTTTAAAACTTATGCAACATTTCTTGAGCCACAACAATATTATCAACAATTTGTCTTCCTGGAACAAAGCTCACTTGATTAGGATGACCAAACTAGCCATACAGGGCCGAAGCCGAGCAACAAGAATCTTAGAAATCACTTTATAGAGAGTGTTGCAAAGACTAATGGGGCGAAGCTGAGTCATGGAAACAGGTCTCTCAACTTTAGGCACCAAAGCGATCAACGTCTCATTGATATCAGCAGAACACAATCCTTCACCAAAGCAATAATATCAGCAGAACACATCCCCCAACATTTCTAATAAAAGAGGGCAGGAAAACCATCAGGTCCAGGAGTTTTTAATCCCCCAATAGCAAACAGACTGTTTTTAACTTCATCATCAGTAACCTCACAACTTAAACCTTCTAAATCCATATCAGCCAACCTTGGAAAAAGATGAGGGAGCAACCTATAATCATCAACCAGACCAGTATCACCAAACAACCCTTGGAAGTAATTGACAATAGTCAGTTCCATTCCAACCTTATTAGTGATCCAAATTCCAGCCTCATTATTCAGACCTTCAAGTTTATTCCTCCTCCTCCTTATGACAGTAGACAAGTGGAAAAAGTGAGTGTTTCTATCCCCTTCCTTTAACCAAGTATTTCTAGACTTCTGTAACCAAAACAACTCTTCCTGCTCAAGGATCAAATTATACTCAGTAGAAAACTCATTCTCAAGCTTATTGAGATAGGGGTTATAACTTAAACATAACTTCCTTTGAATGCCTTCAAGTCTAGCCAAAGTCTTCGTTTCTTTCGAAAAAGACAACCAAAAACCTGCCTATTCCAAGAAACAAGAGGGGACACAAGCCCAGCAGATTTAATAACCGCATTACCATTATTAGACTGCCAAAGATCAGTAATAAACTCAGAAAACTCAGGGTGGGTGAACCACATGGCTTGAAACCGAAAAGGCACACAATCTTTATCAGGAAGATGAGCAGAAGAAAATCTAACCATGATAGGACAGTGATCTGAATTCACCCTAGGCAAGTGGGAAAGATTTGCCTCAGGAAAACAACAATCTCCATGCAATATTGCTCAAACCCTTATCCAGCCTTTTCCAAATGATACCCTCCGCATTCCTTTTATTACACAACGTAAACTTAGCTCCAGAAAAGCCTAAATCAATGAGCTAATTACGATCAATCCAATCAACAAAATTCTGTCCACCAGAATCAAAGTTTCCACCAGAATTTCATAAGCACAAACAATGTCATTAAAGTCCCTTAAAATCAACCAAGGCAGCTTAGAAGCTTGAGCAAGGCCATCGAAATAAGCCCAAAGAGACTTACGAATACCTGGGCAAGGGTTAGCATACACTATAGTGAGCAACCACCAATTAGTCCCCAATTGCACAAAAGCAGTAATCGATTGACTAGAATGGGCAATGATTTGAATAGGGATAGAGTTGTCATTCCACAACAACCAAACACCCCCAGAAAAACCAGTGGCATCAACAATATGATAATTAGAAAAACCCAAACTTAGCTATTTGCAAAGCTCTAATACCACCAATTCTAGGCTCAAGAATATCTAGAATCAATAGCATAAGCCTTCTTTAAATCTCTGATAGTACGAGCACAACTTTCCTTGCCAGCACCCCTTACATTCTATGAGACAATAATCATCATAACAAAGGAAGAGAGGGAAGAACCTAGGAAAAACCTAATTCTGCACTTGCTTAGCCTCACCACTAGTAGAGGCAGCTTGTTTAACGACCATAGTCGTACCCACATCAAACTCAGCATCACCTTGATCAACAAAGTCACCATGGTGATCCAAATTGTCAGAGGTTAAAACTAACACCAGAAAACAAAGCTTCATTAAGCACCCTTTGACCAATGTTTGGGGGTTCATGACCATGAATCAGCCCACCTTTCCCTAGAGAAGACTCGGAAAAGAAAGGCCCTCCATATTGAAAGAAAACTTCCCAAGAACATCAACTTGCACATCAGCCCCACGAACTTGCATTCCCACAGCATTCAGATCTTTAGAACTATTAAAAGCTCTCCCCACCCTATTCAGCCCAACCTTTTTTGTTTACAAAAAAAAGGACATTTCCTCATTTTTGAAAAAAGCAGACATTTTCTTTAAAAAAATAATTGACGTTTAAAAAAATAATAATAAGATGGTAAGAAAGTTGTGAATTTTTTTGGATAAATTGAATACATTTAATAAGGGTAAACTTGGAAAGCAAAAGTTAGCTTGTATAGTATATTAGTGACATTGTTTTAAGTGTAAGAAGAATGACACATGTCAAGCAAAAAAGGGAGAAGGTCCAAAGGAGAAGGTTAAAGAGAAGGTTGCTAGCATTCTTTTTACAACAAATATATTACATAAACTATTACTGGACAAATACATTTATTACAAAAACATAAACGTTTGGCATGTATACATGTTCTACAGGTAATGTTTGTGATACAAACCTGTTGTATAGGTATAGTTGGATATTCTACCTGTCCTATAGACTTAGTTTGGTTCATAAAAATTTTCACTACAACAGCAAGTTGACAGGACCCGCCCCGAATTTCCCGGAACCCGAGACGAACCCTGCAGAGACCCCGGCATCACACCCACGCCAGGTCACTCCTTAAAACTATGTCCTCTTTTACCATAGAGGATTTAGGGCACGAGACTTTCTGCCAAAATTTCGGCAGAGTCTCCCCTGTAAATTGGACATTCCCCAAATTTCCACATGCATAAAACACATTTTATAACCCAACCAGCAGCACGCACAATATAATCTCATGCAATTTACATAAATGGCCTCCGGCCTTCAAATGATTCTAACAGAACTGCCCGCACTGTTTTTAAAACAACTTCATGCATCAAACATGCATATAACAATTTAAAATTTATTTATGCACACCTTCGCTCACACAGTCCACAGGACAAGCCTCAATTCAACCAAGTTTCGGGACCAACCACGAGGTCCGCATCATACTCGATAAAACCACCTAAGTGGTGTCTAGGCCGTGGCTGCACCTAGGCGCTATCCCAGGCTGCCTACGTACCCTACTAAGGGATCAAGCCACACGTAGCTCTTTCCTATCAATCCTGGCTCCTAATATCAAATAAACCATCACATCCATACAAATTCATACATTCTACGGTTTATCCATCACAACACACCAAACACAATCATATCGCCCCTCATACGTCGGGACGCACCCGGCCACGTATGGGGTCTGTCAACAAGCCGGCTAATCCAAAGACGCGTGCGACCTCACACTGGGGGCCTGGCTACATTCTCACCAGCCCTCACACAATCATATCTCCCCTCATACGTCGGGACGCACCCGGCCACGTATGGGGTCTGTCAACACGCCGGCTAATCCAAAGACGCGTGCGACCTCACACGGGGGCCTGGCTACATTCTCACCAGCCCTCACACAATCATATCTCCCCTCATACGTCGGGACGCACCCGGCCACGTATGGGGTCTGTCAACACGCCGGCTAATCCAAAGACGCGTGCGACCTCACTGGGGGCCTGGCTACATTCTCACCATCCCTCACACAATCATATCTCCCCTCATACGTCGGGACGCACCCGGCCACGTATGGGTCTGTCAACACGCCGGCTAACCCAAAGACGCGTGCGACCTCACTGGGGGCCTGGCTACATTCTCACCATCCCTCACACAATCATATCTCCCCTCATACGTCGGGACGCACCCGGCCACGTATGGGGTCTGTCAACACGCCGGCTAACCCAAAGACGCGTGCGACCTCACACTGGGGGCCTGGCTACATTCTCACCAGCCCTCACACAATCATATCTCCCCTCATACGTCGGGACGCACCCGGCCACGTATGGGTCTGTCAACACGCCGGCTAACCCAAAGACGCGTGCGACCTCACACTGGGGGCCTGGCTACATTCTCACCATCCCTCACACAATCATATCTCCCCTCATACGTCGGGACGCACCCGGCCACGTATGGGGTCTGTCAACACGCCGGCTAACCCAAAGACGCGTGCGACCTCACTGGGGGCCTGGCTACATTCTCACCAGCCCTCACACAATCATATCTCCCCTCATACGTCGGGACGCACCCGGCCACGTATGGGTCTGTCAACACGCCGGCTAACCCAAAGACGCGTGCGACCTCACTGGGGGCCTGGCTACATTCTCACCAGCCCTCACACAATCATATCTCCCCTCATACGTCGGGACGCACCCGGCCACGTATGCGGTCTGTCAACACGCCGGCTAACCCAAAGACGCGTGCGACCTCACTGGGGGCCTGGCTACATTCTCACCATCCCTCACACAATCATATCTCCCCTCATACGTCGGGACGCACCCGGCCACGTATAGGGTCTGTCAACACGCGAGGAGGTACATAGGGTAGTGCATATAGCACTGCAAACTAACATTCAATTATAAACTCCATACACAATTTGTACATTAAATTCTAATAATATAAACACCTTAATAAACAACTAGCATCCGATAATTCCCCATAATCCCCATAACATCAGGACCTGTCTCTATGGTCATTCTAACCCTCCTGGGAAGGTAGAACTATCCCAAAGGTCTCACAGTCAACCCAGGGTCAAACTACCCACCGTTGGTCAAACGAGCCGCAGGGCCCACGACCTCCAATTTCCGATCCGAAAGTTCCTATAGGTTCTACAAGCTCTAGGATGCACGTCCTGCAAGTTTGGTCCAGATCGGACGGTCGGATTGCTCACGATCGCAGGATCGAACGGTTACTAAAACCCTAACCCCAGGGTTGGCATTTCCGGAGTATCCGAGGCTCCGTTTTACAATCCGTCGAATCCTATAAAATCCTGGTAATACCTAGATCAACATATTATAATCTCAGGGCCATCCAACGGTCCGAACCCAGCGAACCCGGAAAATACGCGATATGCGATATCCGTTCGAAACTCTAACAGTATCCAAATTGAAATCCGAGCACACCTACGCGCTCGTGACATCGAGAGGATCACATTGGGACAAAAATGCCCCACAGCTACAGTGCCCACGCGCCGCCCACGCGCCGGCAGCGCGTGGGTGTCCAAAGCGATAATCCATCGCCGGGAAAAACTCCGAATCATGGCTCAAGACTCCTACCCTAGGTATAACACCCTATTTGGAGTCACTTTTGTTCTTGGACATACCCCGAAAACTGACCGGAAGTGGCCGGAATCTCCCCTCGAAATTCGGCCAAAATCCAATTCGAAGATCAGACATCCTACGCTCAAAATCGATGCAATCCTACCCAACCATCAGCTAGATCATGCAGAAGGGATGAATTTCCATACCTTGATCGCCAAAAATGGCGGCCGGACGACGGAGAACGAAGCCGGCGAAGTTTCGGGCGAAACCGAGCTTTTCTCTTCGATTTTCCGGCGAAAACTCGACGGCTGGCGGCGGGACCTGGCCAGGGTAGGAAGAGGACGGCGGCCCGGTCATTTTGGTACCGGCCCCGTCGACTTTGGTGGCCGGACGAGAGCACGGCCGGCCAAAACGTGGCCGGCTGTTTCAGCCGTCGCGAACCAGAGGAGAGAGAGGGAAGCGCGGGAGAGAGAGAGTGTGAGAGACGGGGGCAATTACGGTTTTGCCACTGAGGGTATTTAGATCGTATCTCTCTCGTTACAACTCCGATTCGAGCTCACTACGTGTCTACGAACTCATCTCACCGTGCTCTACGCAACGGTACATCCGAAATTCCCAAATTCCTTCCGGGTAAGAAAATGACTAAAATACCCCTATCCCACTGGTAAATTCTTAATTTTGTTCAAATTAATTAAAACATGGGATAAATTTGGAGTCGGGGTGTTACACAAGTAATCTTGAAGAACAAACCTTATAAGCCTAAGGTACTGCAGGTACATCAACCAATACTAATAAACGGGAAGAAAAAAACACAATCAAATTTTACCTACAAAGAACAAACATGAAAAGTAAACCTTTCCTTACATACCTTCATTGTAGGTATGTGCCATGTCAACTATTTTCCACCCCATATTCAACACTCAAACTACCTCCATTATAGACACATGAACCTACCGAAAAAAAAGAAGAAGATAAGTTGAATACTTCATAGCAAACCTAACGAAAAAAAAAACAATCAGACTGTAACACAAGTAATTTAATCCTAATTTGGAATTTGTGAAAATCTTCATTAAGGAAGTCAAAAATCAGCAGAGATTGGGATAAAATGACCATAATTGTAGGAGATAAGCAGATTGTTGGAAGGGGTCGGTTTTATTTGCCTTTTCTATTTAATGACATGAGAAGTATCTTAAAAAGGATGGACAAAAGCATTGCTTACGTGTCCATCGGATTGTTTGGTGGACTGCTATTGAGGAGCCAAAATTGATGTCCTTCATCCATTGTATCTTAATGAAAATAGACCTATATCTAAGAACCCCTAAAGATTATTAATAAAAGAAATGAAAGAAAGAGAGGAGCTTGATGAGGAGGAAGACGAGAGAGGCTCTAAATTCTTCAACGGGAAGAGAAGTTTCTTTTATGAAGTTGAAAGCATTGCTCAAGATGTAATTGAGAGCTTGTGAATATGGTATTTTGTATAGGATGTTGAGGGATTAAGTGGGTAATTGGTAGATTTTGGGCTCTGGACAGCTATTGCTAAGCTCCATGGATAAGTTGGTGTACTACTTTTGAATTCTTTAGGACCCTAAAAAGAACAATTTCCAGCAATTTATGGGTTCGTTGTATTGTAGCTATTAAGTAATTCGTTTATTTGGTAAAATATATAGTTTCATCTCTGTTTTTTTTTTTTTTTTTTTTTTTTTTTGGTGGACATTTCTGAGTTCTTTTGATTCCTATTCAATTGGGTATAATTGTATCTTTGTGGAATTTGACAATTTTTTTGTGTGCCCGAAATCAGGTTTAATTGTGAACATCCAATTAAAAACCAATTAATAATGAGGGAACAGCGTGTATATGTTAGCTGTTAATTTTGTTTTTTCTTTTCTTGGCATTACCTGTTTAACCAATATTATATGCGGAATAATCGATTCGGGTAACTTAATTATATGCTAGAAAGTTGACTTACCCATCACAGCACATGGACTACACATCCTCACAATCTCTCTCTCTCTCTCTCTCTCCCTCTCTAGTGCATCAGAGCCCAACCATGGCAGAATGCTTTTTCAAAAATGCATATACCATTCATTGCTCCCCAGATTCAATTTCAGATATGTTCTTTTGATTAAGGTTATACCAAAATAAGGCCATTATGGCGTCTGCTGCAACGGACCTCTTCCTTGGCAAATTTGTTGCCATTCTAGAGAGTGAAGCAGCCTCCATAGCGGGTGTTCATGATCAAGTTGATGAGATTAAGCAGGAGCTTGTATTCATGAAATCCTTCTTAGAGGATGCTGACGGCGGAGAGGAGGCACACACACAAGTAGAGAAAGCGTGGGTCGCAAGCGTTCGAGACTTGGCCAATGATGTTGAAAACACCATTGATGAGTTCATGTATCACGTGTACGAGCAACGAAATGGCAGACGATTTGCCAGGTGGATCCACAAAACCATTCACTTTCCAAAGCACCTTTGGTATAAGCGTCGAATAGCCAACAAGTTACAGAAAATCACAATGGCGATTAGAGCTATTCCAGAGAGAAATCAGAGATATCGTGGTGCTGCAGCTGTAGAAGTAAAAAGTACTTCTGAGGATATTCGAAGATGGGTGCAGAACCAAGCGGAGTCTTCTCTTTATCATCAGGAGGATGAACTTGTCGGGATTGAAGGCGATAAGAACATGTTACTGCGATGGCTGATGGATGAAGCGAAGCACCAAACTGTTGTGTCCGTGGTAGGGATGGGAGGATCAGGGAAGACAACTTTAGTTGCAAGGACCTTCAAAGATGACATTGTGAAGAGACATTTCGAATGCTATGCGTGGATTACTGTTTCCCAGTCTTATGTGATTGAAGACTTACTTAGAAGATTGATCAAAGAATTCCACAAAGCAAAGAAGGAAGAGGTCCCTGCAGACATGAATGCCATGAGTTATAACGAATTGCTGGAGATTTTGGTGAACTACTTGGAGACTAAAAGGTACCTAGTTGTATTGGATGACGTGTGGGATGTCCACCTTTGGGAGAAATTAAGGTTTTCATTTCCAGATAAACAACTTGGAAGTCGAGTCATGCTTACAACTCGAAGAGAAGACATAGCATCCTCTTCTTTTGGAGTTGAAAGCCATGTTCACAAGATTCAACCGTTGGAAAGGGGTGATGCGTGGGAGCTCTTCAGCATGAAAGCATTCTCAAGTTATCAGAACAAATCTTGTTCACCTGAACTTCTGCCTTTAGCTCGGGAACTTGTGGAAAAGTGTGAAGGCCTACCACTAGCGATCGTTGCCTTAAGTGGTCTCATGTCTTCTAAGAAGTCACTTACAGAATGGAGCACAGTCTACAACAGCTTAAATTGGCATCTAACAAACAATTCTTTGTTAGAACCTATGAAGATGCGCATCTTGTTGTTTAGTTTTAATGATTTGCCATACCGACTGAAGCAATGCTTTCTATATTGTTCCCTTTTCCCTGAAGATTATGTGATCATAAATAATAGGCTCATTAGATTGTGGATCGCTGAAGGATTTGTTGAACATGTCGAAGGGCTCACGCCAGAAGAAGTTGCAAAGAGCTATCTTATGGAACTCATTTTTCGTAACATGCTACAGCAAAGGTTTCGAGGATCCCTCCCATCATGTAAGATGCATGATCTTTTGCGGGAGATTGCTCTGTCTATAGCAAAAAAAGAAAAGTTTGGCGATGTACATGAGGGGAGTGAAACAGTAGAAGAAACTGGGGCACTCCGTTTGTCAATTCAAACAACTAATGAAGAAATTGGAGCAGGCATAGGTATATCACGACTCCGTTCATTTCTCGTCTTTGCCACTGGCGTATCCTCGTTCTCTTTCTCAAATAAATTACCTTTTGACCTTAAAGGTTCTAGATTTGGAGGATGTCCCAATAGATAATCTGCCAGACAGAGTAACATGCTTATTCAATTTAAAATATTTAAGTTTGGTGGGAACTCTAATTAAGGAGCTTCCAGAATCCATTGGTCAGCTCCGCAACCTTCAAACCTTGAACATCATGGAGACAAAAATAGAGGCACTTCCAAGTTGCTAAACTTACGCCATTTACTTGTGGGTGGGGTTCATTTCCAGAAAGATGATTGGGGTAAGAATACCATCAAGTATTGGTAAGATGAAGAAATTGCAATCTTTGGCGTATATTGAATCAGAAGGAAACGTTATTAGACTTATTGGAAGTATGACCCAGCTTACGTTCCTTGGCATTACAAAAGTGAAAGAAAGAGACGAGGAGGACCTATGTGCCTCAATTCAAGAGATGAAGGTCCTTTCCCGCTTGTTTTTATTTGCAGCCGATGGAGAGGAATTTCTTCGAGTCGACGCATTGTCTTCACCGCCTCCCTACCTTGATATACTTTACTTGAGCGGCAAACTGGAAAAGGTACCACATTGGTTTTGTTCACTCCACTCTCTCACATATTTGGATCTGCGTGAGTCCAGACTTGAAGAAGATTTACTACCTCATATTGAAGCATTGCCCTCTCTACATACTCTTTGGCTTGATAATGCCTCTGTTAGGAAAGAGTTATGTTTCAACAGAGGCTTTGTGAAGCTTCGGTTTCTGAATCTCGCATTATTAAATAAGATAACTATAGAAAAAGGGGCGATGCCAAATCTCGAGTTCTTAGGCATTCGTAGGTGCTTGACATTAGAAACATTGCCACAGGGTATTGAGCACCTTACTAAACTACAAGGATACAGATTTGATAATGTTTCAGAGAAGTTTAGAGAGTCCATAGAAGAAGGAGGTGTGGATCATGCAAGGATGCAACTCCTCGACGAGAGATGTAAGAAATATGCGTAAGTATCTTTTATCCTTTCATTGACTTTCCTAAACTTAATGATTTGGAATATTGCACTAGTGTTCAAGAAATTGCTCTCATTCACATCTCTGTTAATGGATGTAAAGCCATATAGATTGTTTGTTAATTACAATATTGCTTTTGTCTTTTTATATATTTTGCAGATACAAGTCCTGGGATTGAAGATTTTACCCATGAGTTTAGGGGTGGGAAGAACTTTTTCGTCTTGTTTTGACCCCAAGACTGATCTAGATTGGCTTCTTATTTGCTCTTTTTGAAAATCAAATGTCTTTTTGTGTGTTTTAATTTGCATGTAATAAAATTCGAGTTTGCATCTGTCATTTCAGCAATTGGCAGATGTACTCGATGATAAGCTTTTAAGATTTGGACCATGGATTCTTTTATATTCTCTTCTATGTTAATTGTGTTTGTATTTTCAGGTTTTTTCTTTGGGGTCAGATTTTGAACTTTCAGATGGGCTAAATATAAAATACAGAATCTTAATTGTTTTCTATGAGAAGTTCTATAACACAGGAATGTCAATGTAGCGGTATCTCAAGTCAATTATGCATTGTTATGTGAGGAAACTAAAACACATTACAATGCGTATGTGATTTGCTAGGCTGTCATGTATTGTAATATGATTGATAGGCTAAAAAACATTACAATGCGTTGTAATATGATTGATAGGCTGTCATGTTAATTGGTTTTAAATAATGTGATTTAGCTAGGTTCAGTCATTCATGGGTAGCAAAGTTAAAAAAAAGCTCTAGGAAACCTTATTTGGAGTAACATACAAAAGATTGTCTAAAAAAGAACCGTTAATATTATATAGATATAATAATAAAAAAATTGAAAAATAAATATAACATACAAAATCCAAAAAAGAAAGGAAACACATGCACTAGCACTACAATTCAACATCATATTTGATGCTCACAATGCGTTTTGACTTTGTACGAAGAACTATGATGCTATCTTTAGATCATAGGAGGCTTTCTTTAATAGTACCTGTGTAGTGATGAGATGTGTTTCAATGGTTTTGCTGTTGGGTGATTGGCTGGTAGGGATGACAACGGGTCAGGTAGGGGCCGGGTATGACAATACCATCCCTGTCCCGCTCTCCATCCCCGCCCCCGTCCCGAACGCATCCTCATTTAATAGGTTTTGGGGAATCCCCGTCCCCATCAGGGGACTATCCCTTGTACCAGCCCCCCTTTTTTTTTTTTTTTTTTTTTATTTATCATACATTTTAAAATTAAGTTTCATATTAAATTATCATTCAACACATCCAAATTAACTAGAAGGTTCAACTCAACTATTCAAAATCACATCAATTCAATTTGACAAAACAAATATATATAATCTTCATCATGATCATCTTACAAATTTTGGGGGATGCGGCTGAGGGGGAAAACATAAATATGTAAACATAAATTTTCATCTTATAAATTTTCATTGGTTGCAACTTGCACATGGAAACATAATATATAATACGTGCATATACGTTTATGTTTTTTGTTTGTGAAGGGTAGGCTGTGAGGCAATACAGCTAGAGAGAGCTCCTTTGGCAACGCGAAACACCATTCAAGCTAGTGGGGCTAGTGGTCAAATCACCATTGGTAAAGCCCTGGAGGCCACTGCTATGACAGCTGGACAGAAGCCGGTGGAGTGGAGTGATGCAGCTGCAATTCAAGGTGGAGTGTCGGCGAGAAGGGGATGCGGCTGCTAGAGCAGAGGGAGAGAGAGAGAGAGAGAGAGAAGGGTGTAGCTGGAGACCAGAAAATATTAGGAAGAAGTAGGAGAGGGAGGTTAACTTAGGGTTAAACATAAATATTATAATTATTATTTATTTATTTAAATATAAACAATATATTTTAGGGTCGGGTTTCAAGTTGGCTACTAGAGCAGAGGGAGGGAGGGAGAGAGAGAGAGAGAGAGAGAGAGAGAGAGAGAAGCTGGAGACCAGAGAAGATTAGGAAAAAGTAGGAAAGGGAGGCTAACTTAGGGTTAAACATAAATATTATAATTAAATATTTATTTATTTAAATATAAACAATATATTTTCTAGTCGGGTTCAGGGATGGGGACGCTAATACCATCCCTGCCCAATACCCTTTGGGGATTTTTCAAGTTTGGGGATCCCCATACTAGATACCCGTTTTGCCACGAAATCTCCCCCTTTTAGGGTTGGAGACCTGACGGGGACCTGCCCCTAGGGGATTTCTACCATCCCTATTGGATGGATCTATTATGATACCCATAGTACGTTTTTGACTCTGTACGAAGAACTATGATGCTTTCTCTAAATCATATGAGGACTTTTTTGACAGTACCTACGTAGTGATGGGATGTTGTTTTAAGGGTCTTATAAGTTATTTGACTCTTCTGTTTAGTCAATAGCATGGGTGATACTCTTTCCTACCCCAGAGTTTTGTTTTCTCTGGGAAGGTTTTAACGAGGTCGCCGTTACCATGCTAGTTCTTACCATGTAATGTTCCTTTCGGTTTAATGAAATACAATCTTTTCTTGAAAAAGGGAGAGATATATTTATATTTATAAATGGTTTCCAATCTCCTGACCACCGACTCAATTTTGTTTCCCAGAATGCCCTAATTTTACCCTCCCACCCAACAGCAACTACCTTTTTGCCCGCACCTCCCATTTTCCTTTTCTTTTTTCATTTTTCTTGGACTAAAGATCATTGCATTCCAAAGGAAGCCAACCATCCAACAACAACAACAACAACAACAACAAGAAGGAAGCCAACCAAAACAAGGAGGCAAAAAGCCACAAGAGCAGAACCAGCATCAACAAAAGCAAAATAAAACAGCAGACCAGCCCCTCCCTCTATTAGCACTTATATAAGCTTTATATAAATTTGATTTTTTTTAATTTTTTTTATTAACATTAAATAATCAGTTTCAGCTGTATCCGCTAATGAAGTTTAGGTGAAACAGATGCATATCTTAGCTGTTAAAATTTGTTTTTCAATGCTGGCATAACTTATTAGCGGATAAGTTAGGTGAAACAGATTGTGAAACAGATGCATGTGAGAAGTTTAGGTGAAACAGATGCATATCTTAGCTGTTAGGAAGTGGACTTACACATCACAGCACATGGAGTAGTCACCATTTCACATTCACCGGAGAATGCCCAACAATTGTTTAAATCACCGATCGAACACTCCCATTGGTCATGCTTAACAACCACTTCTAATTAAGAATTTATAATCTCTCTGTTACATCCGAGCTCAACGCCATTGCAATCTATTGCTGTTCAACCTTGTCTCGCTTCCATGTATTTTGATCCAATCATTTTCATACACGATTCAAATGCTTTTCACTGAAATGCTTCTTCGAATTTCCATACACGATTGATTGCTCCCTAGACCCAATTTTCAGATATGCTCTTTTGATTAAGCACATACCAGAATAAGGCAATTATGGCATCAGTTGCAACAGATCTCTTCATTGGCAAATTTGTAGCCATTCTCGAGAGTGAAGCCGCCTCCATAGCGGGTGTTCGTGATCAAGTTTATGAGATTAAGCAGGAGCTGCTATTCATGAAAGCCTTCTTAGCGGATGCTGACGGGGGCAACAAAGCACACACACAAGTAGAGGAAGTGTGGATCACAAGCGTTCGAGACTGGGCCAATGATGTTGAAAACATCATTGATGAATTCATGTATCACGTGTACGAGCAGCAAATTGGCGGTCGATTTGCCAGGTGGATCCACAAAACCATTCAGTTTCCAAAGCACCTTTGGTATAAGCGTAAAATAGCCAACAAGTTACAGAAAATTGCGATTGCAATTAGAGCTATTCCTGAGAGAAATCAAAGATATGGTGGTGGTGCAGCTGTAGAAGGAAAAAGTACTTCTTCTGAGGATATTGTCAGATGGGTGCAGAATCAAGCGGAGTCTTCTCTTTATCAGAAGGAGGATGAACTTGTCGGGATTGAAGGAGATAAGAACATTTTACTGGGATGGCTGAGGGATGAAGCCAAGCACCAAACTGTTGTGTCTGTGGTCGGGATGGGAGGATCAGGGAAGACAACTCTAGTTGCAAGGACCTTCACCGACGACGTTGTGAAGAGCCATTTCGAGTGTTATGCGTGGATTACCGTTTCACAGTCTTATGTGATTGAAGACTTGTTTAGAAGATTGATCAAAGAATTTTACCAAGCAAGGAAGGAAGAGGTTACGGCAGACTTGAATTCCATGAGTTATAGAGAATTGCTAGGTATTTTGGTGAAATACTTGGAGGCTAAAAGGTATCTGGTTGTGTTGGATGACGTGTGGGATATCAAACTTTGGGATTTTCATTTCCAGATAAACAACTTGGAAGTCGAGTCATGTTTACAACTCGAAGAGAAGACATAGCATCCTCTTCCTTTGGAGTTGAAAGCCATGTTCACAAGATTCAACCGCTGGAAAGGGGTGATGCGTGGGAGCTCTTCGGCATGAAAGCATTCTCAAGTTACCCTAACAAATCTTGTTCAACAGAAATTCTGCCATTAGCTCGGGAACTTGTGGAGAAGTGTGAAGGCCTACCACTTGCAATCGTAGCCTTGAGTGGTCTTATGTCTTCTAAGAAGTCACTTACAGAGTGGAGCACAGTCTACAACAGCTTAAATTGGCATTTAACTAACAACCCTTTGCTAGAACCTATGAAGAGCATCTTGTGGTTTAGTTTTAATGATTTGCCATACCGACTGAAGCAATGCTTTCTATATTGTTCCCTTTTCCCTGAAGATCATGTGATCACAAATTATAGGCTCATTAAATTGTGGATCGCTGAAGGATTTGTTGAACATGTCGACGGGCTCACACCAGAAGAAGTTGCAAATAGCTATCTTATGCAATGTTTTGAAAGGCGAGGCGTAGATACAAAGCGTTTTTATCCGCGCTATGCGAGGCGTAAGCCTTGAAGCGTTGAGGCGTAAGCCTTTTGAACATTAATTTATTCTAATACACAATTAAATTATACTACTAATTATTATTGAACCCTGATATAATGTATTAAGTATAATCAAATATAAGTACTAATGGTCTCATTCATGCATAATAATCAATCCCTAAATCTAAAATATTTATTCAACATCAAAACAAAAACACAATTCAGTTTATATATTAGGGTTATACTATAAATAAATAAATAAATATATATATATATATCCACGTAATATATTAATTTAGGAAGAAAAAAGAAAAAGAAAAAAAGGGTAAGTAGTGGTGTTTCAGTGAAAAAGGGTTAGTGGTGTTTCAGTGGAGGCGTTAAGCATATTGGCTGTTAAAAACAAAAAATCGTGATTTAAAAATAATAAAAAAAGGCATGCTGAACGTCAGTTTCTTTAAGTAATCCCAGTGCTAAATGTGCGTTTTATTAACTTTATGAAACGAAGTCGTTTCATTGCCAACGAACCCTTAAAAAACACGCTTGGTCATCTTCTTCCTCTCGCAGCCGCTTGCAGAACAGCGGCCCTTCGTCCGCCTCGCCACACGTTGCCACGCTTCGCCACGCCTCTCCACGCCTCGCGGCGCTAAACGTGCAACCTGCTAAATAGATGAACGCTTCAGGCGATTTCCTTCCGCCTCGCTCCGACGCGCGCTCTGACGCGCGCTTAGGCATGCCTTTGAAAACACTGATCTTATGGAACTCATTTTTCGTAACATGCTACAGCAAAGGTTTCGAGCCTACCCAGCATGTAAGATGCATGATCTTTTGCGGGAGATTGCTCTGTCTACAGCAAAAAAAGAAAAGTTTTGCGCTGTACATGATGGAGCAGTGTTTTCAAAGGCATGCCTTCGCGCGCATCGGAGCGCGCGTCGGCGCGAGGCGGCAGGAAAACGCCCGAGGCGGTCGGCCGTTTCGCGAGTTGCACGTTTAGCGATGGGAAGGCGTAAGAAGGCGTTGCAAGGCGTGTTGAAGCGTAGCGAGGCGGAGCAAGGCGTGCAGATCTGGAAACCTCTGAACCGGAAGAATTTTGCTCGTCTGCAAACTGTCTGCAAGGAAGAACTTCGCGAGGAAGACGACCTGCCTTTTTTTTTTTTTTAGGTTATTGAAACGACGTAGTTTTGATTGTAGCGTTTAAAAACAATTTTAAAACGAAACGACGTCACTTGGAGTGTGTTGGAAAAAGAAAACCGCAAGTTTCTACTTTTTTTTACCCCCCCCTTACCTTTATTGTAATAAACTGAAGGCATTCTTCTTGCCTTTTCCAACTCCGGCCGGCGCTTTTCTACTTACCCCTTTTTTCTTTTTTTCTTTTTTCTTTTTCCTTTTCTAAATTAATATATATTGTTTAGTACATATACAACCATAATTTATACCCTTACCAGATAATCTCCATCAATTTCAAGAATTCTTTTCATCTTTTAACTGCAAGTAAGTCATTTTATTTTTCTCTCTAATTCTTCGCAACTGTAATTTCAAGTTCCGTATATTTTTTTTTCTATTTTTTTTAAAAATATACTAGTTGTATTATTCCTACATTTTTCTTATTAAAATAAATTAATGTTCAAAAAGCTTACGCCTCAACGCTTCAAGGCTTACGCCTCGCGTAGCACTACTGAAAACGCCTCGCCTATACGCCTCGCCTTTGAAAACATTGGATGGGAGTGAAACAGTAGAAGAAATTGGGGCACTCCGTTTGTCAATTCAAACAACTAATGGAGAAATTGGATCATGCACAGGTATATCACGGCTCCGTTCATTTCTCGTCTTTGCCACTGGTGTATCCTCATTCTCTTTCTCAAATAAATTACCTTTTAACATTAAATTGTGAAGGTTCTAGATTTGCAGGATGTCCCAATAGATAATCTGCCAGACAGAGTAACGTGGTTATTCAATTTAAAATTTTTAAATTTGAAGGGAACTCTAATTAAGGAGCTTCCAGAATCCATTGGACAGCTCTGCAACCTTCAAACCTTGAACATCAATGAGACAAAAATAGAGGCACTTCCAAGAGGTATTTCCAAGTTGCTAAACTTACGTCATTTACTTGTGGGGAGGTTCATTTCCAGAAAGGTAATTGGGGTAAGAATACCATCAAGTATTAGTAAGATGAAGAAATTGCAAACTTTGGCATATATTGAATTAGAAGGAAACATTATGAGACTAATTGGAAATATGACCCAGCTTACGTTCCTTGGCATTACAAATGTGAAAGAAAGAGACGAGGAGGACCTATGTTCCTTAATTCAAGAGATGAAGGTCCTTTCCCGCTTGAGTTTATTTGTAGCAGATGGAGAGGAATTTCTTCGAGTTGAGGCATTGTCTTCACTGCCTCCCTACCTTGATAGACTTGAATTGGTCGGCAAACTGGAAAAGGTACCACATTGGTTTTGTTCACTCCACTGTCTCACATATATGAATCTGGAAGGGTCCAGACTTGAAGAAGATTTACTACCTCATATTGAAGCATTACCCTCTTTACATATGCTTTCCCTTGATGATGCGTCAGTTAGGAAAGAGTTATGTTTCAGCAGAGGCTTTGTGAAGCTTTGGTATTTGCGGTTGGGGAATTTCGCATTATTAAATAAGATAACTATAGAAAAAGGGGCGATGCCAAATCTCGAGGTCTTAGACATTCTTAGTTGCATGACGTTAGAAACGTTGCCACAGGGTGTTGAGCACCTTACTAAACTAAAACGATACAGATTTGATAATGTTTCAGAGAAGTTTAGAGAATCCATAAAACGAGGTGTGGATCATTCAAGGATGCTACTTGTCGACGAGAGATGTAAGAAATATACGTAAGTATCTTTTATCCTTTCATTGACTTCCCTAAACTTAATGATTTGGAATAATGCACTTGTGTTCAAGAAATTGTTCTCGTTCACATCTCTGTTAATGGATGTAAAGCCATATAAATTGTTTGTTAATTACAAAATTGCTTTTGTCTTTCTATATATTTTGCAGAAACTAGTCCTGGGATTGAAGATTTTACCCATGAGTTTGGGGGTGGGAACTTGTTCGTCTTGTTTTGACCCCAAGAGTGATCTAGATTGGCTTCTTATTTGCTCTTTTGAAAATCAAACAATACCCAAGTTGATGTTCATAAAATTGCAGTTGATGTTTTTGTGTGTGTTTTAATTTGCATGTAATAAAATTCAAGTTTGCATCTGTCATTTCAGCAATTGGCAGATGTATGTCGATGATTAACTTTTAAGATTTGGACCATGGATTCTTTTATATTCGGCGTGTTTGTACTTTCTTCTATGTTAATTGTGTTTGTATTTTTAGGTTTTTTCCCTTACCCTCCGTTTGATGAGGGAAAATAACTCGGAATTTGGCTAAAAGTCGGGAATTTAAGAGGAGAAATTGACAATTCCCATGTTTGGCAACTTAAGCGCAGAATTTATTAAATGACGCGCGGAAAAAATCATGGAAATTGAGGCATCAAATTCCCGAGTTTAATGTCCACCAAAATAGATGTCATTTCACAATTTCCACAGTGCGGGAATTCATATTTTCCAGTGTGCCAAAACTTAAAATAAAATATTTATAAAAAAAGCCAAACTTTTCATGGAAAAAAAAAGCGCCAAACTTAAAAACAGCGCCAAAAACCTATGAAACCCTGGACAACATATTGCCTTGTCGCTTTATAAACAAAAGCTGCGAGCCAGAGAAGTACTGCAAGCCAGAGAAGTAAGGAGAATCATAAAAAGTTGCGAACCAGAGAAGTAAGGAGAAAGAGTTCTTCTTGGGTTACACATCTCTCTGGATCAAGTTTGAAGGTTAGTCTTCAAGCCTTTCTCTCCTTCAATTTATATTTTCTATTTTAGGGTTATCATGGTTTCTAAATGGCTATCAAAATTGGGTATTTCTGACAAAATTATGAATGTGTTGAATGGGTTTTGTGATCTTTGTGGCACTGTGGCTGGGTTTTGGGAAATCTTAACAAAATAGTCTATGCCCATGGATATTTGTGTGTGATTTGTGTTTATGGTACAGCTCTGTAATTGTTTGTTAGCTTTATCACTTTGTGTTATTGCCTTGCTCTGTAGTTGTTTGTTAGATTTATTAATCAATGGAGCATAAGCAGGAGTCCTGCACTCAATATCTTGCCATTTGGCATTGGGTGTTTACACAGCTATGTAGGATAACTTCAACTGTTGGCGTAAGTCCTTGATTTCTACCCCTGGAGCCAGTTCCACATAGATAGTTGATTGCATACCACAGCTCTAAAAGACAAAAGTAAAATAATGCTTAGTCTATTAGCAAAAAGTCAATTGTAAAATATGGAATCTCTAATTGCATATGAGAATAATAGTTACCATTGGCATTAGATGTGGAGTAAAACTAACAGTTACTTTTGAATTTGCAGCATCAGATAGTCCCTGCTTAATTTCTAATTTCAAAGATAAAATCCAGGTCACTGTTAGGTAATCAAAATCAAATAAAAAACACGCATGCTGTCTACTAGATCAACAAGTAAATTCCAGAATTATGTCATCTAAGAGAGACCACTCAGTCCATTCAATGAAGGAACACATTTAACCCCACTTATCTAGACGCCAGTAAAAAGGCATACTATAGTTCCTAACCTTCATGTTCCTCACCAATATAAAACTTAGGGTCAGATTTGTACTTTCAGATTGGCTAAATAAATAATACAGAATCCAAAAAAGAAAGGAAACACATGCACTAGCACTACAATTCAAACATGCATGAATACTGTCTGGCTTTCTTGTTTTAACTTCTTTCTTTTTTCCTTCTTGTCTGGCTATTCCTTATAATTATGTACATGTATGTTGTTATTTAGAGAGAGAGAGGGAGGGAGAGAAAGGCAAAGTGTACAAAACTAGAATAATTGATATCTCTCTACCAATCCAAGCCTTGAGTGTTGGTCATTTAAGCTGCTTATATCTTGCTCTGGCCTTTTACTAAATCAGGCTCTTTCCTTTTTGTGTAACTTCAGAAACAGGGAGATGATCTTCTAAGAATTAAGTAGGATTTTCAAAACCAATATTTCAATTTGATCCCTGCGCTACATAAAATATAAAAAATTAATACCTCTGCTGCGATGTTTCTTGTATTTTTACTTGTATGTGTATGCATTATTCACGTTCGCATTGTCACATTATGGATTTAGTTTTGAAGTGAGAATCTTACTTGGATTTCTCGCAGACCACCTATGTAATTCAGCACAACCTACTACCGTCTAGTTTTCTACAAGCACAAGCTCTTGAGATGAAACCAAATTTATCATATGAGTTATCCCTTATTAATTCACATGTTAAAATATGAGTGCATTTTATATGTCATGAACCTAGGTCATAGTCAATGGCTGATCACCTAAGGACTAGTAAAGGCTATTGCCCTACTCACCCTTCTTCCTATCCATGAAGTTCTAGAATCTTTATTGAAGATATGCTTGAGTATGTTGCAATGGGGTGTTTGATAGAAGTCCTCTGAGAGAACATGGAGGGGCAAAGTTGTGCTGGCAGCTAAACTTCATATGTTCTTTGTTTAAATAACACACCAAAACGAGGTCGTATCTTGTTATTGTATATAATTCATTCATATTTGAAGAATATTGAGCATTGGAATTTTTAGTTCTATTTTGGAATTCCCAGTATTTATTTTACTTAGAAAATATTTTGGACAATAAAACAACTAATTAACCATGATGTCCTCCTTTTTCCTTCTCCAATGCACCGACCTTTCCAAATTATCTACCACCATTACTTTATTATCCGGCCATCATATTTTCTAATTATAATATAGTAATTACTCCTTCATGATACCACTCTCTAAGTGTCAGAATAGCAATATTGAACAGAGATTTAACAGAGAGAAGCAGAAATTCTTAGGAGAAGAACTGATGTATTCATTCATTGATTATTTCAACACAGTACAGTGATGGTTTTATATTAGCTTATCAAAGCTTTGTATATATGTTTCTAACCTCCTAACCTCTCTAACTTCTTTAACAGAACACTAACTCTTTTGCTAAAAACTGTCTAACAGTCTTAACAATATTTCAACAACTCTCTTCTTCAATCTTCTGACATGTGGCAGAGTGAGGACCGTTGATATCTTTACATGCCCCCTCAATCTCATGCTTGGAGGAGCCAAGCATGAGATTGGAACAATGATGCTGGAATAAAGGAATAGACAGCCCCTTAGTGAGAATGTCAGCAAATTGTTCCGCAGATGAGACATGTTGCACAAGTAAATCACCTCGAATGACTCGTTCTCTGACAAAATGATAATCAATTTGGAGATGTTTCATTCCGGAATGAAACACCGGGTTGGAAAGAGAGAGCAATAGCGGAGATATTATCACAATGAATTAAAGGAGGAACATGTAATGGGATGTGCAGATCACAGAACAACTGTCTGATCCATGCAAGTTCAGCAGCAGCAATAGCCAAAGCCCTATATTCAGCCTCAGTGGACGAACGAGAGAGACAGTATGTTGTGCTTCTTAGAAGCCCAAGAAATAGGAGTAGAGCCTAAGTAAACCATAAATCCCGAAACAGATCTGCGATCATTAGGATCCCCAGCCCAGTCAGCATCACTATAAGCGTGCAGATGAAGAAGACCAGGCTTAAACCAAATGCCAAAATCAAGAGTTCCTTTCAAATACCGCAGGATTCTCTTAACTGCCACAACATGAGACTCCATGGGATTATGCATAAATTGACAAGCTTGATTCACTGAGAAGGCAATATCTGGCCTTGTGAAAGTGAGGTACTGCAGAGCACCAACAATGCTTCGATACTGCTCTGGATGAGAATAAGGTTTGCCATCATCTTTCAACAGTCTGTGATATGGGAGACAAGGAGTAGGACATGGTTTTGAATCCTGCAAATCAACCTGTCAAGCAGTTCCTTGATATACTTAGTTTGAGACACAAACAAGCCAGCAGACTGATATGAAATTTGCAGCCCCAGAAAATAAGTCAACTGACCCAAATCCTTCATATCAAACTCCTGAGTTAAAGCAACCAAACGTCAGAGGTAATAAGGAGATTACAGGCCAGTAAGAATGATATCATCAACATAAAGAAGCAAAACCACAGTACCAAGCGACGAATGTTGAATAAAGAGAGACGGATCTGCATTGAAGCTTGAAAACCCAAGCTTGGTAAGAAGCTAGTAAACCTTTCGTTCCAGGCACGAGAGCCTGTTTTAACCCATACAAGGACTTCTTGGTCTGCAAACAAAGTCAGAAGGATGAGTGTTACTCGCAAAGCCTTGAGTTTGTGTCCTATACACCTCCTCTTGAAGAACCCCATGCAAGATGCCATTTTAAACATCAAGCTGCCGTAAGGACCATGAAACTGGAGCAGCAGAGCAAGAATTGAATCGAACCCGTTTTAAAAAAAAAAAAAAAAAAAAAAAAAAAAAAAAAAAAAAAAAAAAAAAAAAAAAAAAAAAAAAAAAAAAAAAAAAAAAAAAAAAAAAAAAAAAAAAAAAAAAAAAAAAAAAAAAAAAAAAAAAAAAAAAAAAAAAAAAAAAAAAAAAAAAAAAAAAAAAAAAAAAAAAAAAAAAAAAAAAAAAAAAAAAAAAAAAAAAAAAAAAAAAAAAAAAAAAAAAAAAAAAAAAAAAAAAAAAAAAAAAAAAAAAAAAAAAAAAAAAAAAAAAAAAAAAAAAAAAAAAAAAAAAAAAAAAAAAAAAAAAAAAAAAAAAAAAAAAAAAAAAAAAAAAAAAAAAAAAAAAAAAAAAAAAAAAAAAAAAAAAAAAAAAAAAAAAAAAAAAAAAAAAAAGATGGAATCTACTTTTTCGAGTTTTCAGAGCAATAATAGAACCATAGCAAGATTTCTAAGCAATAATTGATCATCTCTCTCTTCCAGTACATCTGAGCTGAACCATAGCAAGATTTCTAAGCAATAATCGAATCTTATCTTCTCACATGTATTTTGATTTTTATACATGGGCAAGGAGTTTCTAATTCAAGGAATTTCTAATTCAAGTGATTAAGAGTATTTGTCAGGAATTTCTAATTCAAGTGATTAAGAGCATTTACCAATGCATTTTAGATTGTAGGTTCGATTCTTCTTTATTTTAATATTACTTTGGATTAAAATAATAAAAGAATAATAAAAGATTCTTATGCTTGCTCTGTTACGGTTCTTATATACACCATACTAAGTATTGAGTCTCCTCCTCATATGTCTTGTATCTTCTTGTGGTGTTGTTCTTATGAGAGTTAATGGGTGTGATCAATTTCTTCATATTTTCTTCATCTAATAACAGTTCTATGACTTGCTCTTGTAGGACAAAGACTATTTTCTAACCTTCCATGGCAAAGCGACAAATATTTTCCTATATATACACGTATTGAAGTTAATTTGTTTAATAAGTACCTTACTCAATATGTGGTTGCTTACGTGTTGGACTTGAATGTTTGGCTTCGATATGGACTTGACTTCACGTGTGGCCTATTATGTGGTGGTCTCATGTGAGGGGGCGTGTTGATGAATATAAATCTCACATTAGAAACTTGACAAAATAAATTACAACTTATAATAAGTAATTCCACCACTAATTGCACCTAGGCCTTTTGAAAATAGAGTGCAAGTTGGAAAATTAGTAAAATTAGTATAAAGAAAAAAAAATCATATAAAAGTAAAGTGAAAAGAAATTAATGCAAAGTAAAAGTAGAATAGTGGGGAAAAAAAAAGAATAGAATAAGAAAGAGAAAAAAAAAAAAAATTATATAAAAAAAAAAAAAAAAAAAAAAAAAAAAAAGTAAAAGTGAGTTCAAGTTTTTAAAAAAAGAAAAAAGAAAAAGAAAAAGGGAAACACATGCACGCCCAAAAAAAGAAAGAAATCATTAAGAGGGGTACAACGTATGCGTGGGTAAGGTTGTGTGTTACAGAGGTAGCAAAAGTGTGTGTGTTGGGTAGCGGAAAGAGAAAAAATAATCTAAAAACCTTACGATAATTATAGAGATGTTGTGTCATGATTACAAGGGTATTAGAGACAATTTTAGAAATAAATAGGGAGCTTTAGTAATATACCCAAAATAGGACATGAAATTATAAAAAAACCCTATATGGAATAGACTTTAGAAACACACCCAAAAACCATTTACTATCTAAAAAATGAGTGTTAAAGTTCCTATAAATTACATCTCTGCCATTTATTAACTTAAAACAAGCCCAATACAAAAAACTCAAAAAAAACCCAAAATAAGCCCAGCAAGCCCGAAATACATTGTTAATACCATGTCATAGAAGTGTATTGTTAATACCATGTCATAAAAAGTACATTGTTAGTACCATGTCATAGAAGTGTATTGTTAATACCATGTCATAAAAATACATTGTTAATATCATGTCATAAAAATACAATGTTAATATCATTTCATAGAAAAACATTGTTAATACCATTTCATACAAAAAAAGTAAAAAAAAACCCAAAAAAGCCCAGCAAAATATCTGATATCCTTTGCAAAAACCACCTTCAAATGTCCATAGTTTCACCAGAAGCAATCGCAAAGGCCCTCTACAAAAAGAAAAAAAAAGTATATTGTTAATACTGTGTCATAGAACTATCTTCCTAGTGAAAATCATATTATGCATATCATAAACTTCAAGTGCACAGCTATATGAGCAAAATATAGAGCATGCTTTGCTACTGAAAATCTGTTAATACTATGTCATAGAAGTACACTGTTAATACTATGTCATAGAAATCAACTCAATTACAGGGTATGAACAGTATAACAACTATTCATACCACTTACTGGAAGCTAACAGCTATATTTCATTTGCATAATAGGTACGATAAAAATGTATAACTGCAAAAACCCCATGTTCATAAACCAGCAACCTTGAAAACATAACGGAAAACACAACATTTTGGAACAAACCTAGGAACCCAGAGCAAAAACCTCATGTTCATAAACCAGCAACCTTGAAAACATAACGGAAAACACAACATTTTGGAACAAACCTAGGAACCCAGAGCAAAAACCCCCATGTTCGTAAAGCAACAACCTTGAAATACAACTGAAATTGAAAGAACAAGTGTTGTAGGTGAACTGTTCTGGCAACAAGTTGCTGCCAAAACTGCCATGACAGAAACAAACACTATGAGCTGCAGTTGCCAATGCTTTGATTTTCTTTTCATTTTTTGCCACTGATAAAAAATATTAAATGTCTTCTTCCTTGCTAACTAATGGCAACAAACTTTATACTGAGCAAACCCCTTTGCAGTTTCCTTGGATATGGTTACTAATTAAGATTAGTAAATTTGATGTGACACAAAAACAAATGGATATTGCTGGCTAGAAAACCGAGCATAGTGAGAGACAAACAAAATTTGAAAAGGGAATTTTGCATTCCATTATCAGAACAGAAACCATTAAATCAATACTCTAATTTTCTACCACATCAGATAATTTGTCTGAAATTACTTATGCTTTTTTTTTCTTCTTGTTGGGCTTTTTTGGGTTCTTCTGAGGCATGCATGCAAATACTCTCTTCTGTAAAATAGATGCTAAGATTTTAACCTTGCCTCCTCTGCTTTAGAGAGTTGGTGTATAGATTATGAAAAAAAAGGGGGGGGGAAAGGAAGAAGATTGGAGAGTGAGAAAGAGAAAACAATTGTTATCAACTCCAAAGAATCTTGAGCAGATAATAAAATTGCTCAGAAAGTGGTCCTATGATATTCTTAAGCCTAAAAGCATTTAAGAAAAAAGTTTACTTTGCACCTCAATTGCACAAGCCAACAACTACTGTTAAATTTGCTTCCTCGATGAACTGTTAGGAAAAAGGAAAAAAACAATGAGCATTCTATGGTTTAGCTAACAATTACAAACACAATTTCCATAAATCCTACACAAGAACAGTCATAAACGATTTATGGTAATTTTATTTAATAAAATGAATTAATATGATATAATCTGGCATTGAACGATAGCTAGCGACCATGCGATTTCAATAGCACAATCCTAATTATGCTGAGAGATGAAACTTCTCCAATCAAACTCTTATAAGCAAGCATAGAAATCGATATCTTCATTGACGGAAAATGAGCAAGAAAATTAGGAGGAAAATTTGAAGGAAAAAAAAATTACGAACCCGGAAGTGGAGCTTGGCTCAGATTTGGGAGCTAGAACATATGCTACTAGCATTCCAACAACCCTGAATAGAGTCTGAAACGAACATACCAAGCATGCTGTCAAAGTCAAATGGTAACTTATCGCTAAAAATTCCCGAAACTCCTTACAATACCTATATCAACATATTCAGACTAACAACGGGAGTAATTTTGGCCTTGGACCTCGGCCAAAAAGTGGCCAATCCAGAACACTGCCAAAGCCGTCGGTCAAACTAGGGTGTATTGATTAATTTCCAAAACTCCAAAATCTATCTTAACCACATGCATAAACAGTTAGAGCACGAAAAGTAGATGAAGTTTCATACCTCGATTGACGGAAACAACTGCCGGAATTGCCGGAAACGACGTCGGAAAACTTGAAATCCACAGACATTTCTGAGCTCGCAGCGGCGTCGTGAGTGGCTGATGTGGCTGGGCTTTAGCCCAGACTTGATCGTCGGCCCTGGCCGATCCTTTTCCGACCGCTCTCACTGCTGGGCGTGGCCGGAGCACCAATATCGCTGGCCTGGTTTCTGCAAAGGGAGAGAGACGAGAGAGGGACGAGAGAGAGAGAGAGAGAGAGAGAGAGAGAGAGAGAGAGAGCCCAAAATTTTTTCAAAATTTTTTCAAAAAACTAATTTAATACTAAATGGGTAATAAAGGTATTCATTTAAGTAATTAAACTAAAAAATGTAACAGCTATCAGTTTGGGTATTTTTGGGTGTGTTTCTATGTTTTAAATAGTGTAGGGTATATTTATAGTTTCATGTCTAGAATTGGGTTTTTCACTAATTTTGTAAAATAAATAACCATCAGCTTTATTGAAAAAAGGACCGTGCTGAACATACCGTGAAGTAAAATTTCAAAATTTCAAAATTTCTGTCCTTAATCAAGTGGGCTCTCATTCTGGAGTTATTAATCATTTTCTCACTCCGTATTCCGGCATTTTATTTGTTTACAATAAAAGGATGAAAAAAGATCCTTTCAAAATTCAAATCTGAAAATCTAGGGGCAAAATTATCCAAGTAAGCAAAAATTTCTCTATCCAAAAGAAATTTTGGGACAGGTCGTTATATTTTACACGTATTTAAGGTCGTTTGGTGACGTTTGTCTAACCGGCCAATACACGCCTTTTGACTCCATAATAGCTCCCATTAACGCCTGAGTGCCCATAATCACAGCTTCAATCAGCGCTTTTTACACATTATGAAGTATAATTATCCTTAAGTAAGCGCATATTGTGGACAAACATTTACTCAATTAGATCTACACTTCCAAGAGCCCAAAGTTTCTTTTCTTTTTCTTTTGAAATAAGTCAGAATACCTTCAAGAAAGGAAAAAAAAGAAAAACCAATATTGCATCATGTGCATGCCCATCTTGCACGTATAGAAATACCACTATCATCGTGTTTTTGATGTTTTATATTTTTAATGCGCACAAAAAAGAAAGTTCGCATTAAAATATTTTAGTGTTTATTGTTAAAATGTGGGCCTTGTATTGTTAGTTTAGTTGAATTAAATTGCTATATTTCAGCAAAAAAAAACATGTGCAGAAAAATTAATTTTAAAAAATAAATAAAAACACATTAGATGGAAGAGGGAAGGGGATGGTATTGTCCTCACCTCCATCTCCGGTATGAAATTTTGGGGAATCCCCATTCCCATACCCATCGAGGGATTATATTCCAAACCAGGCCTGAATATATTTAAAAAATATTAAAACTATCCATATTACACTTCACTTTCACCTTAAACTATCATTCAACTTAATTAAATTCAATTGAACTATAAAATTTCACTCAACTACTCAAATTCATTTTAATTCAATTTGACAAAAATAATAAAATCATATAATTTTCTTTAAAAAAAAATGGGGTAAAAATTAATGAAACTAATACAACATATTGTTTTCATCCACAATTCATCATCAAGATGAATATCCTCACTCAATGGAAAACGAAAAAAAACTTGCGCAAGAAAAGGATATGTGGGTGTACCGTGTACAGTATACATACAGCTACTAAATCACAGCGGCCATGCTACTTTAATAGAGTAATCTAAATTTATTTAATATTATTTAATTAGTTATTTATACATTAAATTTTTTTAATTGTTATATTATATTATGTTATATATATTTATTAATTCAAATTAAATATATCATTTATTGGGCACAACATGATGAGGGACTTGTGATCACAACATGATGAAAGCAGGCCCACTTTTTCAGCAATAATAAAACCAATAACTTCTGATCATCTCTCTCTTCTAGCAGTAATAAATATATCATTTATTGCCGTACCCGATTTCTGTACATCTGGGCCCCAACCCACCACCACACAATGGAATCTTATCTTCTCATGTATTTTGATTTTTAAATTCTGTGTTACATCCGGTTGATTGCTCCCAAGAATCAATTCTAGATGTGTTGTTATGATATACCAAAATAAGGCCATAATGGCGTCCGTTTCAGCAGACCTCTTCATTGACAAATTATGTAGAGACTACAATGTTGAGAGTTTCACTAAAACACCCAAAATGGGGGGCTGAAATTATAAAAAAACCCCAACACCCAAAACACTTTATAAACACACCCAAAACACATCATTACACACACTCAAAACCCATTTATAAACACACCCAAAAAATATACAATTGTTGATTTTGGGGTTGATTTTGGGTGTGTTTCTATGTTTAAATAGTGCTTGGATTTTTTTATAAATACATGTCTAGAATTGGGTTTATTTATAAATTTGTACCCAAAGTATCAAGAATTAATGATGCATATATTTCTTCCTATTGTTCTTTGATTTCATATTTTAGTTTGCCTTTCGTTTAATCGACATATATAAGGTGATGATGATGTACCATTTTCTCTTTTTGCTTAAGATTGTAATTTGTTGATAAAGTGAAACGATGAACGGAAATCAAATTTGTAGAAGCAAATGGGCGAATGCGTTTTTGGTAGAAAATGAAAAGGATGGACAAAGGCATTGCTTACGTGTCCATCGGATTGTTTGGTGGACTGCTATTGAGGAGCCAAAATTGACGTCCTTCATCCATTGTATCTTAATGAAAATTGACCTATATCTAAGAACCCTTAAAGATTATTAATAAAAGAAATGAAAGAAAGAGAGGAGCTTGATGAGGAGGAAGACGAGAGAGGCTCTAAATTCTTCAACAGGAAGAGAAGTTTCTTTTATGAAGTTGAAAGCATTGCTCAAGATGTAATTGAGAGCTTGTGAATATGGTATTTTGTATAGGATGTTGAGGGATTAAGTGGGTAATTGGTAGATTTTGGGCTCTGGGACAGCTATTGCTAAGCTCCATGGATAAGTTGGTGTACTGCCTTTGAATTCTTTAGGACCCTAAAAAGAACAATTTCCAGCAATTTATGGGTTCGTTGTATTGTAGCTATTAAGTAATTCGTTTATTTGGTAAAATATATAGTTTCATCTCTGAGGTTTTTTTTTATTTGGTGCACATTTCTGAGTTCTTTTGATTCCTATTCAATTGGGTATAATTGTATCTTTTTGGAATTTGACATTTTTTTTGTGTGCCCGAAATCAGGTTTAATTGTGAACATCCAATTAAAAACCAATTAATAATGAGGGAACAGCGTCCATATGTTAGCTGTTAATTTGTTTTTTCTTTTGTTGGCATTACCTGTTTAACCAATATTATATGTGGAGTAATCGATTCGGGTAACTTATTATATGCTAGAAAGTTGACTCACCTATCACAGCACATGGACTGCACATCCTCACAATCTCTCTCTCTCTCTCTCTCCCCCTTCTCTAGTGCATCAGAGCCCAACCATGGCAGAATGCTTTTTCGAAAATGCATATACCATTCATTGCTCCCCAGATTCAATTTCAGATATGTTCTTTTGATTAAGGTTATACCAAAACAAGGCCATTATGGCGTCTGCTGCAACAGACCTCTTCCTTGGCAAATTTGTTGCCATTCTAGAGAGTGAAGCAGCCTCCATAGCGGGTGTTCGTGATCAAGTTGATGAGATTAAGCAGGAGCTTGTATTCATGAAATCCTTCTTAGAAGATGCTGACGGCGGAGAGCAGGCACACACACAAGTAGAGAAAGCGTGGGTCGCAAGCGTTCGAGACTTGGCCACTGATGTTGAAAACACCATTGATGAGTTCATGTATCACGTGTACGAGCAACGAAATGGCAGACGATTTGCCAGGGGGATCCACAAAACCATTCACTTTCCAAAGCACCTTTGGTATAAGCGTCGAATAGCCAACAAGTTACAGAAAATCACAATGGCGATTAGAGCTATTCCAGAGAGAAATCAGAGATATCGTGGTGCTGCAGCTGTAGAAGTAAAAAGTACTTCTGAGGATATTCGAAGATGGGTGCAGAACCAAGCGGAGTCTTCTATTTATCATCAGGAGGATGAACTTGTCGGGATTGAAGGCGATAAGAACATGTTACTGCAATGGCTGATGGATAAAGCGAAGCACCAAACTGTTGTGTCCGTGGTAGGGATGGGAGGATCAGGGAAGACAACTTTAGTTGCAAGGACCTTCAAAGATGACATTGTGAAGAGACATTTCGAATGCTATGCGTGGATTACTGTTTCCCAGTCTTATGTGATTGAAGACTTACTTAGAAGATTGATCAAAGAATTCCACAAAGCAAAGAAGGAAGAAGTCCCTGCAGGCATGAATGCCATGAGTTATAACGAATTGCTGGAGATTTTGGCGAACTACTTGGAGACTAAAAGGTACCTAGTTGTATTGGATGACGTGTGGGATGTCCACCTTTGGGAGAAATTAAGGTTTTCATTTCCAGATAAACAACTTGGAAGTCGAGTCATGCTTACAACTCGAAGAGAAGACATAGCATCCTCTTCTTTTGGAGTTGAAAGCCATGTTCACAAGATTCAACCGTTGGAAAGGGGTGATGCGTGGGAGCTCTTCAGCATGAAAGCATTCTCAAGTTATCAGAACAAATCTTGTTCACCTGAACTTCTGCCTTTAGCTCGGGAACTTGTGGAAAAGTGTGAAGGCCTACCACTAGC